GTCTGCCTCAAAGTCGATCGAAGAAAGCCCTGGATTGGGTGTCGAGGGAGGAGAGGTGAGGTAAAGAAATGCGTTGCTCTTGACTGGACACTGCAGATGCAGACGATCTGCTCTGGGTTTGTGGGGACATCATTGCGCTCGCGCCTGTTCGAGCGATGGCCGGGCTGGAAGAGTACTCCGTGTGGCTCTGTGTCTGACTGGAATCCAAATGCGCATTGACACGCGGAGATGGTGACTGACCACGCGTGCGGCTGTCGTGCTGAAGGCCGAAACGGGACGCTTGCTCTATCTCCATCATCTTTAGAAAGGCGGGATCGATGACATCATCGTCTGCGACCTGGTCATTGTGCATCACGTTTCGACGACGAGGGCTGGGACTTGGAGAAAATTCGAGAGGCTGCGTCTCATCTCCATCTCCATCTGAAGGCAACAGCTCCTGCGTCTCGTCCCCCATCTGTTCCGAGGCTGGTCGCATGTCGGCGTCGCGCATAGCGACAACTTCGTGTTTCACAAACTCATCATCGCTGAGCCCATCGACTAAATGGCGAGTCAGCAACGCGGAGACGTCGTCCGTCTCCTGCTGAGCAGAGATATCTCCTGGCCCACTAGAGCTGCTGCTTCCTTCGCTCTGGCGACTCGCGTTCCTACCGCGTCCCGGGGAGCGCGCCTGCTTGGGTCTTCGCGTCTCAAACCCAAATTGACTGAGGGTGGACTGTTCAAAGCTGTCTTGCGAGCGGATAGAGCTGCGTGATGGAGCGGGTGCCTCCACACCTTCCCAATTCGCATCCAGGTCACCCCATCCCAGTCGTGGTCTGACAGGCGCCTGATGCGAGGGCCGCGAGGCCCGCTGATGTTGTCTAGATCCGCCTCTGCCGGCTTCCTGAACCTCTTCTCCAGTCCAGGCCAAAGGTTGCGTATCTTCGGCGTCTGATGCTGCCGCCTCGGCGATTGCAGGAGCGGACGCATCATCTTTGCTTTTTTGCCGCAACCGGTTCGAGCTACGTCTGCTAGTTGCCTCACCCGAGCTGGCATTGCTCCCTTTAAAAAGAGCTTTGCTTGGAGCATACGTCTCGTCGTCTGCCCATCTGCCATCATCCAAAGCAGCTGAATCCTCAACCGACTCATAAGTGTCGGCGTAGGAGCATTGCGGGTTCTTACTCGAAGAGGACGGCTTCCTAGAAGTAATTTCCACCATGGGCACGCTAGCACGTTTCGCCACAGTCCCATCTGACGTCAGAGGACTCGAGCCTCCAAAGAGAGACGTTCGCCTAGTGTTGATCGGCCTTCTCAGCTGGTGTTTGGAGCTCTTGGTACTGGATGGCGAAGCTAGGCTGCCCGTCTCAGACGAGCTCGAACCCGATCTCAAGCGATCCACCGGGCTAAATGGAGGGTCGACGTGTCTTCCGCGACGTGTGGCAGATTGTTCCAAACGGACAGCAGGGGTGCTGTGATCTTTGGAGGCATCAGCCAGTTGGGTTTCGAGAGCGTAAAGTCGCCTGCCTGTGCGGGGCGACCTGAACAAAGCCTGCGGTCTGCCTTCGCCATCGATGATTGCTGGATTTGTGCGCGGAAACTCAGTTCTTCGATCGTCATCCGAAGACCTGTGGGTGGCTTGCGTCTGGCTCTGACTGGATGAAAGCCACGCATCACCGATATTGACGACCGAATAGCCGTGTACAAGACGGCTCCGCTCAATCTGCGCACTCGGCTCATTGCGGGCCTTAGCGCTAGAGCGCTTGAGACTGCGCGAGTGGGAACTCATGCCATGGTCTTCGCTTGGCGCTTGATCGTGGCGTGAGGGCATGGCGTGGAGGAAGAGCTTGTTCTTGGACACTTGTTCCGCGTCCACCGCTTCGAGTGCGTCTTCTTTTCCAGCCCGCACAGCGGTGCGCTCAGTCATTGCGAACTCATTGGCCCGTCTCATCTCTCGTCTCACTCGCTCCCGTTCTTGCGGCGCTGCAGACATGAAGCAGCCCGTCTCAGCAAGGACTCGGCGAAGTGCAGAAGAGACGACTCACCCTGGCTTCTGGCGCTGCTCGCCCCATTGTGTGACGTGCCAGTGGACTCGCTCCGCTCTTGGGCGCGAGGAGGTGCACCACAGGAGCCCTTCTCTATGTGACATCTATCTTGAGTGTTGAGATAGCCTGCGGCCTGCCTCCAAGCTCGCATCGACTCGTGATGCTGTCGTGCAGTGCCATTCACTTTCCCGGCCCCTTCAGGCTCAACTTCTCCACGCCAAATACTGTCGCCTTCCCACAATGTTTGCACATCCGCAGCATTGGAGTCGGCCGAGCGCGTTGCTTGCTTCGAGGCGCTGATACTCCGATTCGGCTGCAGTCGCACTGGTGCTTCGTCATCAGCGCTGTGAATGGTGTGTTCCTTCGAGCGCGCGGTGGGTGCGACTAAGCGAGGTGTAACGCTTTGGACCCTGGGAGCCAGGCGCTGTAGGCTCGACGGCGGCGCAGGTCCAAAAATTGCAAAAGGGTCGAAATCTTGATTTGTGCGGGTGAAGAATCTGTCTTTACTGGAACGACGTCGCTGCATGCCAGGTGTTGTAGTGTGATCACCAGCATCCGCTCCCGGCGATCGCGTACGCGGACGTTTGTGCGGCAATTGAGGAGGTGATTCGTCGCGCCTAATAGAAGGGACTGTACTGTCGCTTTTCCTAGCGGTGCGAGACTGACGGTCGAGGATGGCGCTGGAAGCATCGACTCGCGGCTTAGGCTCTGAAGCAGGCTGACGCTGCGCAGAGTGTACGACAGAAAGTTTCGTCTGAGCGTACCTTGCCTGCCCGACAGAGGGCTGATGAACGCGCTTGCCATTCCCGGAAGAGAGGCGACTAGACCGGAGTGGAGTGACTGCGGTACTCAGATTGAGCTTGCTCCCGGCATCGCCTCGTTGCGCACTTCCGCAAGCTTTCTTGCCTGCATTGGTCATCACCCGTGCTTTCCCATCCCCTGAATTTGTCATGTCACCCAGAGCCGGGCTTGCAGCTTTCGAGGCATCCTGGCCCACAGGTCGGCCACTTGGGCGCCCTTCCCTGATCCACGTTGGCATGATCTTCAGCTCCGAGATGGGGCCAAGTACGGGCAGATGCAGGGCCACGCGCGCTGTACGAAACCTTTAGGCTGTGTGTCGGTGCATGCTGCTCGCCGGGCTGGCCCCACCACACGGGTCAGTACGCTGACGCAGGCAAGCGATCTATATATTGGTATCGTCCGCTCGCGAGCGGAGAGTAAGCGGCTGCAACGGCTATCAAGAGAAGAGGTGATTCAGAGCTGGTCGATGGCGGATGCTGAAGCGGGGATGCCGAAGCAAACGTGCCGCGTGGGCTATAAGGACAATGGAATGGAGACGATGGGGCGGATGGAAATCGTGAAAGCCGTTGCTGCAAGACGTTGATACCAAGAGAAGTCATGCAGGGAGCGACTCGGTGCGGCTTAGCTCAGCGCCCAGCTTATTCAAGAGCAACCAACACCTCTCGCGCATCGAATGGCCCCCTCGACGCGCTCGCTACCTACCCTGTACATGGTTGCGCGCGCGCAAGCAAGACGCGTCTCCCTATCATCTCTCGTGCGAGTGATATTTCCGCGTGGCGCAGTACTCCCGGCCGAGACGCGCACGGCAAAACGTCTCGCCGCCTTTTTCGAGGAGAGGGGCACTTCTACAGTCACAGTCGACAGTCGTGAGTCGTGAGTCGTGAGTCTCATCCGATTTGGCCCTCTGGTCGGAACGCGCGATGTGGGGTACCCGCTGACTGCGACACTCGAGACTGAGTACGGAGCGAGGTGGCCTGCATGACCTAGACCTAGCTGAGCTCGCGCTGACCTCGAACGCAATTGTGAATGTGAGTGACAGTCACGAGTTTGGGTGTGAGACAGGGTCACAGGGTCATAGAGGGGGGGGCTTGCTTGCTCGCTCCTTGCGCGCCGATCCTCCGTGTCATTTGCTCGAGATTGCTGCTGCTCTTGTGGCCCGCCGCTTTGCACCTCCCGCAGGCGGTTGATCCGCACATCAGCGCGAGCGCCCGCCGCCCAGGGCTTGGCAATTCTCGAGCGTAAGGTCCGCTGGACGACTGCAGTGGTGCCTTAGTCCGATCGGAGATGCCTGCCGGGCTGCTGAGCGGGAGCGTGTGCGTGTGCGTGTGCGTGTGCGTGTGCGTGCGCGCGTATGCGTGCGCGTGCGGGGGTAAGGCACGACTACGGCAACTTTGCCGCTGCGCTAGCTAACTGCCACCCTGCAAGCATCTTTTCGGAAATGACGCTCTTTGTGTCGCTCGAGCCGATCCCACCGCATCCCACCCTCGCAAGCGCCTCGACTCGATCGACGGTGACTCAGACTCGTGTCCCGCCGCGCTCATCCGCCTTCT